ATCTCACACCATAGACAATTGCCTTCAGTGTCAATATAGTCTAAATATGAAGTCCACTCTTTTTTAAAATATTTAATAAACTCTTCATCTTTAAGCAGTGATGTATTAAATCTCCAGTTTTTACTTTGCGTAATGTTCTTCTTGTGCATTAGTGTTAAAGATACAGGAGCATGATTGCTGACAGCTATAGGGTGAATCTCAGTGTCTGAAATGTCGCTCAGCAGTGAGCTGCTGACCAAAAAATAATCCAGACGAGAGTAGGAGTGATGAACATGTGAGTATAGTATATATATATATAAGTATATTCCTTACTGGTGGGGTGAAGGGAGCGCCATGCATCGCAAAGGCCAAAGTCGCTTATATACTGTTTGATTATATTTGCGGACTGTGTTGAGCCTATCCATTTCTTCATTTAGTCCAAGGTTGAGGTCGCCTCCAAGAACAAGTGTGCCATCTAAGTGTTCAGAGAGTGCACTTAAAAAAATGTGAAAGAATGAGGGATCATCAACATTTGGACCGTATATACTTACAATACATAGCTTTTTATCAAGTATAGATTGTTTAATAATTAGGAATCTACCCTCTGGATCTATAACTGTGTCTAGTACTGTACAATTAACATTTTCATGTATTAAAATTGCTACCTCCCTCTATCTAGAATTATAACAGGCTGCAAACATATTAGGAAACTCAGGTGTTTTAAGTTCTTTTAAAACTGTTACGAGCCTGTGAGTCTCTTGTAATAAAGCAACATCTGCCTGTAGTTTTCTAAGCTAATAGAACATTTTGGTCTAAAACCAAACTGCAATGGATGGAGTTAATAAAGGCTGAAAATAAAGGCTTTCATTCATTCATGCATTGATTCATTCATAAGTTTATTTCATCAGTACTTGTTCTCCTCCATCCTCCCTCCATTATATTTGCTGTTGATGCTGTTTTGCTATTTGCTGTTTAATTTCATCTGAAATATCTGGCCTCCTTGCAGTGTTTGCCTCCCATAGCTTAGTTGCCCTCTTTAGAATAGAATAGAATAGAATAGAATAGAATAGAATAGAAAACCTTTATTATCCCACGGATGAGAAATTTTGTTGCTCTTACAGCAAGGGAAAATAAAATATAAAAAGCAGACAAAGGGTGGTCCTATAAACATACGCAACTGAAGTTCATATATACAGGTATATACAGGTAACAATGTACAGAATATGTATAGAAAAAATTGAAAAAAATGTATGGAGATATTTATAAAATATACAGTAATCAAACAAGCTGGTGAGTAAGATGACCAAAGGAATGTTAAGCTGCATCATAGAGTCTGACAGCTGCTGGTAAGAATGACCTGCGGTAGTGCTCCTCAGTGGGTGTAAAATTATACTGCTGAATGAGCTACTCAGTGCTCATACAGTCTCTTGCAGGTGTTGGGAGGTGTTGTCCATGATGGATGTTAGCTTAGACAGACAACATCCTCTTCTCCCCAACCTGCTCAATGGACTTCAGCAGACACTCCAGGACAGAGCTGGCCCTCCTGACCAGTTTGTTGAGTTTCCCCATGTCCCTCTCTGTCATTCCATCACTCCAGCAGACCCCAGCATAGCAAATAGCAGACGCCACCACAGTGTCGTAAAATGTCCTTAGGAGTGTCCTGTTCACCCTGAAGTATCTCAGCAGCCGTAGCAGGTGGAGACGACTTAGACCCTTTTTGTAAAGTGCATTTGTGTTTGTGGACCAGTCCAGTTTGTTATTGAGGTGAACACCCAGGTATTTGTACTCCTCCACCGTTTCAATGGTCAAACCCTGGATGATCACTGGTGTAATGGGGGGTGGCATCTTGCTGAAGTCAATCACCAGCTCCTTCGTCTTGCTGGCATTGATGCAAAGATGGTTCTGTTCACACCAGCTGACGAAGTCATTGATGACCCCCCTGTATTCCAGTTCATTTCCCTCCAACACCAGGGCAATGGCGGTGTCGTCTGAGACCTTCTGGAGATGGCAAGTGTCCGTGTTATAACTGAAGTCCGTCATGTACAGGGTGAAGAGGAAAGGGGCGAGTACTGTTCCTTGTGGGGCCCCCATGCTACAGACTACCACCTCAGACACACAGTCCCGCAGCCTCACATACTGGGGTCTCCTGGTGAGGTAGTCAATAATCCATAAGGACAGCTGATGGTCCATTCCTGCTCCCTGCATCTTCCCCCTTAGCACTGAGGGTTTGATTGCATTGAAGACACTGGAGAAATAATAAAACATGACTCTCACAGTGCACCTGGCGCTCTCCAGATGAGAGAAGGCCCGATGCAGCAGGTAGGCAAACTGCAGCGGGTCTAGATCTCTCCCGACTAATGGGTGAAGGTGGTGTAGTATGATCCACTCCATGGTCTTCATCAGCTGTGAAGTCAGGGCAACAGGTCTGAAGTGGTTTGGCTCCTTGGGGTGCGTTGTCTTTGGGACTGGCACCAAGCAGGAGGTCTTCCACAGAATGGGGGCCCTCTCCAGGCTGAGACTGAGGTTAAAGATGTATGTGATAACCTGACAGGGTTGATCTGCACAGTCACTCAAAAGTCTGGAGCTGATTCCATCGGGACCCGTGGCCGTCCTGGTTTTCATCTTCCTCAGCTGACTTTGCACCTGGTCAGTTGTGATGGAGAGGCTGCAGTGTAGGGTGTGGGTGGGTGGCTCCTGATGACTGGTGTAGGGGGAGGAGGCAGTAGAGTTGTAGAAGGAAAAGGAAAAGGGGGGCAGGTGAGGTGCATTTGATATCCCCGGGGCTATGGGGAGTTGCAGAGAGGTGTGAAGGAGGTTTGAAGAGCTCTGGTGGATCGGGGAGGGAAGGGCTACTGAATCAAACCTGTTAAAAACTGATTCAATCTGTTAGCCCAAACCTGGTCTCCAGACTCTGGACCCCCTTCGGTCACAGTGCTCCGTCCAGTGATGGTGTTCAGTCCTCTCCACTAGTGATGGGATTTCTGGCTCTTTTAAGAGAACCAGCTCTTTTGGCTCGGCTCACTAAAAAGAACCGGCTCTTGAGGTTGTTTTGTTGCTTTAATTAATTTATTATTAACAACAATATAAAATTATACACAAAAGGAATTACTAATGTAAAAAAAAAAACTGTGGTTTTATTTATATATAAATATATACATAAATAAATATATAAATATATACGGTGGCCCCTTGAGACAAAGCATGTACAAACTCCAGAACACATTTCTAGCATTAACTGAACCTCCAAAACAGAGCTACCTAGATCACTTAAATTACAGAATTTAAAGCATATGTGTGTTGTTTGTGTATTTATACACAAGCACTCATATATATTCAAATAATTAAAAAAATGTTCATTTACCTGTTACTACCACACACCAAATCCGGTCGTTGGTACTAGGTAACAAAAGCTCAACACTGCGCCCAGCATCCTGGAGCACTTCTGTTGTGTTTTTACATGCTTCGGGGTTTGTACGTGCTTTGTCTCTAGGGGCCACTGTAAATATACTTTTATTTATTCACTTCACATAAAATGTAATAAATAAATCATATAATACAAAAAACAACTATTCACATGTCAACTTTTAACTATTTAAATTTTCAGCTTTTTCCTTTAAAAATTTTAAAGTGAAACAACACAAAACACTGCAAACCACAACACAATCAAATATAAATTAAAATATGAAAACAAAAAGAAGATGCACATTCTCTGTCATATGGGCCTGCATGAATAAACTTTCTGAATCCTTTATCATCTACAATTGAAAATAGTTGTGGATGATTACTATACCTTTCTAATGTGACGTTGTTGTCCCTGGCTCTCATTCTCTCTCTCTCCCTCCTGCTCTGTTCCTGTGCTACTGAGTGTAACTACCGCCCCTCCCCCCTCTGCCCAGCACACGACCGACACAACACTACTACTTAGTAATTGACTTGGTTAGTTGAAGCTTTAGCCCTCTTAATGCTCTTAAATCTTTAATTCCTGGATAGGTGGCTAAGGTGCTGCAAAAGTCTATTTCTAATTGACTGAAGTGGTCACTGTCCCGCACTCTGGGTCCAATGCCTCCATCCAACCCGTGGTCACATCAGCTCCAATGCACGACAGCAGTGCACAAATGTCTCCAACAGGAGTGTTTCTCCAGTTGTGTTGTGTTCCAGAGCTGAAATCCAAGCTGAAGCTCCTCCTGTCAGAGGTGGGAGTTAGGTGACTAGGCCTTTCATGTCAAGATGGCCAAATGGCATGTACACAGATGATGCAAGTCATAGTGGCATCTGGATTAATAATGTTTTTCTGATTCTGATACTCTGGGAGGAAATGTATCTGAGCTTGTTCCAGCTGTGTCTGAGATCTTGTAAAATATTCTTGTGGTAGAGTAACTCCGTTATCTTTTAAAACTCCACTCCTCACATCCATGGGTGGGGCTCATGGTGCTCAAGAGTTGTGCCTTCATTTTGGAAGTGAACCTGCTGACAAAGAAGGATATAAAAGTGGAGCCATATGTTTGGTAGCTGCTGATCCAGCCTCAGTTGCCTTGAGACTCTGGCTTTGTGTTGGATGATTCTCTTGCCTTTAACCACTGTTTGACACATTGTTGTTATTGTCACCAGAACATCTCTCTTTTTATTCATGTCAGATTTCCTTGAACACCAAGCCTTTCTTCCTCCTTCTTCCCATGCAGCACGTCGCTTATTGTATCCCTCATTTGCTTTTTGATGTAGAGTTATTATTGCATCATTTGTTTGGAGTGGTGCCTCTGGATCCTCCCTTCATATTAAAAGAGAGGAAAACCAAAGCCCACATGCAAGTGAAGGAGACTGTAAAGTGGAGAGCATTATGTGGCCTGTTGTGGAACATCTGGATGTCGGACTATTCAATTCAATTCAATTCAATTCAATTCAATTCAATTTTATTTATATAGCGCCAAATCACAACAAAAGTTGCTTCAAGGCGCTTCATAGATACAGAGAAAAACCCAACAATCA